GGGGAGAAGGTGTCAGCATTACAGTGACTGAATTGATTTATTTTAGTGCTTCACTTTCTGCTCTGCTTTGTGAATCATTAAAGTGAAAAGGTGCTTGTTTTGGCAGATTCTATATCATAGCAACTAACGATCACTGTGTTGGGATTAACAGGATTTCTGAGGTGTGCACTTTGGTTTACGCTGTTGTCTGAAACATAGAAAGGTGATTTGCCCCAGGGTTATATTTGCAGTTTTTTAAAAAAATCTTTATTTCAGAATTTACCTAATTTGATGCATATGAAAGAAAGAAAAAAAAATCATCTTTTTATATGTGAATCTTAGTTGTAGAATAGATTGGATGTTTGTGGGACATTGCTCCAACAACAGCAACAAAATTACATTTATATAGCGCCTTTCACCTCGGGAGGACTTCCCAAGGCGCTGCAATAAATAAAAATATAATATTTCTTACATTTGGTATAGCATCTTCACGTTAGGAGAACGTCTCAAAGTATCACACTGGATATAATGTAAAGTGTAGTGATTGCATATTTTGTAAGCATCAGCCGATTTGTGCACAACAATGTTCCCACAACCATGAAGTGGCTGTTTGTGGGACATTGTTGTGCACAAACTGGCTGATGCTTGGCCATGAAGTGGCTTTTGGTATCTGGGGCTTGTTGGTCACAACACTGGGAAAAACTCTCTACTCTTTTTGAATAATGCTCTGGTCCAAATCCCTGACTGTTCAGTGCCTTGGGACGTCCTCCTGATATGAAAGGTGCTATACAAATTTAATTTGTATTTTATGGAATCTTTAATGTCCACCTGAGCAGGCAAACAGGGCCACGGTTTACTATCTCATCCAAGTGACGGATATGTGAATAAAAATTTGAGACAAACTAATCTTTTCTTTTAGAACTCTCAAATTCAAACTTGCTAAATTGAAAATACTGTAAATGTTAGGGTGAACATTTTGCTTCTACATCTACAATCATGTTAGCATGGTCGCTAAAAGTAGCACTAGTTATTCATCTCCAGCCTCTTTGAAACAGAAAATACAGCCCATTGCGCAAAAGATGTGTGTTAGAATACAGGCCTTTCTTTGCCTTGTGGGTTCCCAGTGCGATTGTAGTACATCTGCGTTCTTAAGTGACATTTTCCTGCTTAAGCAATACACCACCCTAAGGGGAATATTTGCTTTTGAAACGATAGAATATGTTGATAAATTGTTGTACCTGAAAGTAAAAGTAGCAACCAAGCTCAACTCAAAAAATGCTGTTTGTGCTATATGGTGATCTCAGCCAGTCAGGTTCCCAGTCACAGCGAGGTGGTGGCCGAGAGAGAGAGAGAGAGACGCACATGAGCACGCAGGAGAGGAGCCCTGCAGAGTAGTGGCTAGCACGAGAGGCCCTAAATTCAATTCCCAAGCAGTGCAAAACCTTAGGCAAGATTCCTTACTTCACACACCTCTGTTTGCCTTGCAGTAAGTAGGAATCCGATTGTTTGTCGATTGGCAGATTGCTTTTGGGGGGATAATAATCCATCCGCCCCCTGCCCCCCACCCCCATTATAACTTGGTTATTCAATCCAGGACTGTTTGTGGGACACTGCTGTGTACAATTGGCTGCTGTGTTTTACCCACAAAATATACAGTCAATCCACTTTACTCTATATTCTGTGAAGTGGTTTGAGAAGGTCTCAACAACGTGATAAGGCGCTATATCAAATGCAAGTACTATTATGATTGTTCAAATAGCTGTTGCTGTCCATGCTATGTTCTGGCAATCTTCCATCAAGGTACCCTTGCACCAGATTTTTTCCGGCAGTTTCCCTTCATTTCTTCCAAACCCCTGTTGATGATGGCAGCATTCTTGCCTTGTAATCTCTTGTAGACTCGCCAAGTCAAATGAAGTTGGACAAGGTCTCATGCAGACAGCAGAACGTCACTCAGCATGGTCTTGACATCAAAGTGGCAATGCACACCATTGCCAGTTTGGGGATTATAGCATCGACATTAGTGCCACACTGCTTGGGGGAAAAAATTCTCTCAATTTTATAAGAACACTGACCAAAGGCATTGGTTTCATGAAAAAAATGCCCCCCACCAAAAAAAATTCTTCACAAATGCACATTGTAGTGAAGATTATATTGTGTAATGGTCCAATAATGTGTTAAAATACACTGTAAATGATGTCTCACTAGTGGAAGTGAGGCATGTTTTTCCCCATCCCAAACAAACAAATATATTTGCCAAGCCCTTTATCATCTTCAAATGCTGACTTTAAAAAAAGATAGAAAAACAGTTTGGAAAGGTTTTTTCTATTGAAAGTAGCAGGGAAAGGAAATGGAAGTGGACACAAGAGGGGATTAGGAGAGGTTGAGGCCTGATGTAGAATAGAGGCCCACGTGGAGTATAAACACCAGGGTGGACTAGCTGGGCTGAATGGCCTGTTTCGGTGCTGCAAGGTCTGTGTAATCTATGCAATTCTCCTTTTGACTCAGAAAAAGCACATTGCAACATAAAGGACATTTTTAAATGGAGAAACCCATGCACGTCACACTGACTCGAGACCTCGACTCTGACCAATGATTGCCTCAGAGTCGAGGTCTTGTAAGTTGGCTTGGAGTATATTGACAAACATTCTTTATATTGTAAGGAGCTTTCCTGGGGACCGGATGCCAGGAACACTATAACGTTCCCCTGCAGCATTTTTTCAACTCCTATTAGTATTTGACAGCAGAACTACAAACACCGAGCAATGGAACATATTTCAACGCCAGAGGCTAACCCGATTGAATTCCAGTTTTGTAATTGTGAATTATTTAATTGACTTCTCATCTAGAATTACATACAAATAGACTTTTGACATAATTTGTATCTACAATTTTGCATTGCCTTCCTATTAAAACTATACACTTGCACTTGTGTTCTGTGTTTCTTATACCACATTTCAGATTAGACAGAGAGAAGGGAGCTATTGCATTATTGATGTCAGTGTGAGAGAGCTTCCAGCTATGATGATCCACATTATAATTGTGGTCTATGGAGTATTTCATAATTGTAGTCCTAAACCTGCCTGATGTCTTCATGTGGCTCTCATTGTGTCTAGAGTCACTCTGATGGACTTCAAAGACTTCATGGTATATTTGTAACTTTGTTTCAAATCTAAAAAGAATGTCCTTTGTACGGTGTTAAAATCAATAATATCTTGCAGGTTAGGCAAGACGCAAAGAAAAACCAATTGTGATTCATGGAATGTTTTGGTATTAACTTCAGATTTTATCATCCTTTTTCGAAAAGAAGAGCTCTTTCCCTGTTAATATTCCTAATTTGTACTGCTACGCTGGTGTCTATTCTAGGTTATTTTTAAAGTGATTGAGAAGGGTCCTGGTACTATAGCAAGCTTGAGGATTCCAGTGTATGCTGTCTTTAAAATAGAGTTACATGGAGTGATGCAACATGGTAACTTTCATGCTGATATTTAAACTCTCCACCAACCTCCATTCCTCCTATTCCCTTCTCTTATACCCCTCTGTTATCTTCTCACTCAATTATGCTTGAAGTTTTCTCAAATATGTTGATGCTTTTTGCTTCAACCACAGCTTCCAGCAGTGAGGTCCACAATCTCACCACTCTTCTTCAAGGAGTTCCGCCTTAGCTCTCTATTAGATCAACTGCTAACTGTCTTATATTTATGCCCTCATATTTTATATCCTACATTGTTATTTAATTATACCTTTTGCTTAAATTGAACAAAAATAGATGAACGATGGTGCATTTGGATGAAAGTGCCCTTTTCACCCCCTGAGACTCGAGCTGAATCCATCCCAAAACTGATGGGATAAAAGTTTCCTTTCATTAATCCTTGTAACAGCCCGGTGTAAAATGCGCTTGGCCTGAGTCAACAGCAATCCATGCACAAAACAGCTCATAATTGAGCACTAATTGGCATAAAATTGGCCATCCCGCTTGGAGGCCAGAAGGGTGACTGGCGTGGGAAGTAAAACTTGGCATGGGTGCAGTTGGGAATGCTCCTCTGGGCATGTTTTTTTTCTTTAGTCCTCGTTTCCATCCTTGTAGGTTTTTCTATCACACAAAACTCCCTACCAGCCTGGAGGGGAAAGACAGTCTGAGCCACTACTCCATAACCTCCATCACTACAGTTGGTCTAGAGCCAGCAGAGATGTTTAGTGGAGCTCCTGTGGCACTGAGCTGTATCAGGTTGGTCTTTACTCCACACCAGCTGGTCATTAATTCAATTGTTTACCCATTTTTCCAATTAAAAATGAAAGGATTGGGGGTTGGGAGAAACTGCCATAATCCTCTCTGCACCCCACATCAACTGCCGCTTTTTTCAGTGATTTCTATGTGTGTAACACTCTGCTAAAGGAAAATATATTAATATTAAAATTCAATAAATCTTGAATTTTAAATAGGGCTTCAGTAAAAACCTTGAGGAATATTGGGGAAAGAAGTAAAAAGTGGAGTTTTTAAAAAAAATAAAGATTGGAAATCAGAGTGTAGTGGCAGAGATGTGATGGATTGATTTGGCCTCCTATTGTGTAGAAAAATTCTATTTCTATGACTTCTGCTTGTTTTTTTAAATGGGAACTTATCCATGTTCCTAAATGGTTGAATGCCTGAGGGGGTTTGTCAGTGTAACCAAACATGCTCTTTAAAAAAGTTCTCTTTGACTGCTGCTTCAGTCACCTCCTGCATACTCTTTCTTCTCCCCTCCGCAACTCAACACAGCTTAAGCTCTCACTCCATCTCTGTAAAGCACTTTGAAACATGCTCCTAAGTGAAAGGTGCTGTATGAGTGCAAACTATTATTGTTGTTGCTGCTCACTTGTAAAAGGAAATCTGCTGGTCAGATGGTCTATTTTGAAAGGAATGCAATTCAGTTATCCTGCTGGCTATGTGTCCTGTGTTTTCTATTAAAAAAAGTATTGGTTGAACTTAATCTTATTTATGATGTTCAATTTTGCACTAATAAAATTCTGTTCTTTTTGGACAGAAACGTGCCAAAGGGCAGGTGCTCTTTGACAAAGTCTGTGGGCAGCTCAACCTCCTAGAAAAAGATTACTTTGGTCTGGCTTTTCGGGACTCTGAAAATCAAAAGGTACGTTCAGGCGCTAAATTATAAGGTGCTTGAAATGGGAAGAACCAAACCTAGAGAAAGGCTTTCTACATATGTTTTTCCACAGAGGTAAACCTTTCACTTTCCTGACTGTGGGTTAATAAAGTGCTCTTCAGAATGTGTTTGCTAGACCTAGGGCCTGGGAAGATGAATTGCACCTTTTGCAAGGAGCTCCATATCCATCTCCTGATTTGAGACCTCAATGCCAAAAGGCTTTGCTGGTTAGAGTCGACGTCTCATGAATGGGTGTGATGTACAAGGTGGTCTTTGCTGGGTCAGTAGTTCATGTCTTGAGGTGCATTATTTCGGCAGCGAAGTTCCATTTTCCTGAGGAGTACTTTTTTATTCAATGAACATGCAATAATTTGTTATCTGTAAATTAAGTTGGATTAAACAGATTTAAATGGAGCTTCTACTACATTTGGATTCCAAATAATTATTTTCTAATTGGACTTATAGAAGTTCTTCCTTTCTTTCAATTTTATTTTACTCTTTTTAATTATTAGTTCTCTTCTTATGATTCAAAAAAAGTTTACTTTTATTTAAGAAACTATTCTCTATTCAGAAATGTAATTCTTGACTGCTTAACTGTGCCTTTTAATTTATATTTTATTTTGAAATCAAATTTATATGATGACAACTTTTCCACAGTAATCTGGACTAAATTGTGTTGGCGTGAAAAATAATTTTGTGCCTCTCCCAGTTACTCCTAATCTTCTCCAAGTCCCAGTCCCTCGTTTAGTTGCTCCCAAACATTTCCACTATCTGTTATGGCTATAACATTCCCATCTGTCTGGACATGTATGCAGCACATTTCACATTGAGCACAAACTATATCTAACAGAACAGCTCACACAGCCCAAACCTGCTACTGTATTAGTATACCTAGTGAGTGAGGTACTCAGTAGACTGCTATTTGGGTAGGTCATTCAGTACATCAGCAACTTTCTTCTGGTGTCTTTCTCAACACTTGCCACCTAATTTTTTCTATAAGAATGTGTCTTGGTATTGACTTCCATCAGCTGTGAATCACATTTGTACATAGCTGTGTTGTGCTCCGTGATATACATACACATATATACACTTGTATTGCATCTTAATGTTTTGACTCAATTCCAGCATTCCGTTACCAAGATGACATGTTGGAGCCAGTTCAGCTCCAAGGACCCGCTTACCTCCCCCCATGAGGAGGATAATTGATCTGGTGTAATCCATTTGTGTCTTTTCTGCTGTTATATTTAAGAGCCAGGTCATTGGTGATATTTTGTATAAAATGTTTCATTGTGAGATAACATGGCAACAAGACTAGTTTAATGTATGTGATTACGATCCTCACAGTGAGGATAATATTTGAGTAAAATTAAAATGTATTTTAAACGCTGTGTTTCAGAACTGGTTAGATCCAGCCAAGGAGATTAAAAAGCAGATTCGAAGTAAGTGCATTTTACTAATTACTTAAATTGCAGGTTTGAGTCCTGATGGTCAAAGGGTAAATGATAAAGACTGCTCTGATGATCGTGGTCCAGCACTGACCATCACAGATTGGAGCACGTGTTGAGACCAAGATACTCTATTCATTTAATAAATAGCTTCATACAGTGATGTGAAGATAATAAAGTGGGTTTTCTGGAAGGGTGGCATCAAATGGCCTGAAAGACTTTCTTCATCCAAATCAGGTCACTCTACACCCGAAGCTATTGAGCATTATAGTCTGTCTACCAGTCAATGTGCTGCAATTGGCTTCAACAGCCTGACATTAGTGAAGGGAAAATCAGCCAGGGTTCCTGCTCCTGTATTAGTTGACCTCTGTTGGAAGGTGTGTGGATATGTTAAACAAGGACAGGATCAGGTTCAATTGTGATGTTCCCTCTCAGTTAAACAGCCTGTTCAGGCTTATTATCTAAGCTCGTATATGAAGGCTGACAAGTGCCAGAAATGTAGCTCGGCAATAATTGGTGGCTTCAGAAGAGGAACGAGAACAGAGTGCGGGGTGGAAGTAACAACAAAAGAAACAGCTTTTGTATTTGTTTATCAAGACATGATTTCCATTCACATTGTGTTTCAGTCATTCAGAATAGAGAAGCCCTCAGGGTGAGATTTTTTTAAAAATTATTTTTATCTTTAAGCCTCATGCAATTTGGCAAGACAGAGAATGTGTTTTGTAAATTGTTTGAGACACTGAAACCATCTGGTATATTTTCTTATCTCTGCTAAAGGATAGCAGCTACAGAAGAAGAGGTCTTAAAGTTCTTGTGTTTCCATGCTGATGATCGTTCTGTCAATTGTTCCTTAGCTTAAATGTTGGGAAGATGCTGAGGCTGGTATGAATCAATGCAAAGTGAATCTTCCCAGCAACAGTAGAATCACAATATTGTAAACCCACGCAGGAATTACTCTGAGTATGTTGCAAGTAATTGAGGAGGAAACCAAAGAGAGGATCTGTTTCTACCACGTGCAAAAGTAGAGCTGGAAGCAACAGAACATCAACAAAACTACCAATGCACAGTGTTAATCGTTTTGGTTTCAATCTAAAGCAGAAGTTCCTTTTTTCTACCTGTAATAGGTTTCAGTTAATAATTTGGTAACAGCCAGAATGAGAAGCTGGACTGACCCAGATGCCATCGAGGCCTGTTTTCACTTGCCTCTTGAATCTCTTTATTTTCCCTCTTCTGTAATTTCATAGCGCTAGAATCTGAAAAACTGTTTAATACTGTCAGCCTGGCTCAGTTGGTAGCATTCTTGTCTCTTGAGTCAGAAGATTGTATGTTCCCGTGAAACTACATGACAAGAGTCACTAACAGGAGAGAAGTGAGAGGAGAAGTTGAAGAAGATATGTTTACATCAGTTTTTATGATTTCTAGAATGAATTTCTAGAATGGATACCATATTTTGTGCGCGTGTTATCGAACATGGAAAATGCAGGAGCTGCAAACATTGAGTCTATCTGGTAATCTGACATACAGTTTGCTGACCAGCAAAAATTCTGCTCTGATGTGCATGAAAGTAGATTGCGTAAACCCCACACCCAGTTACTGGTGGGATTTGGTATTAACAGATATGTTTGCATATATGTTCACCGCACTGTTAGAAACTATATGAATTGAAATCCAGAGAAAACTAATTTAGCACTTGCTGCATTCTGGGTTCATTACCTTCCTTTACATAGACTTTCATATAATACATGGCAACGTGCTAGTTGGCAATGCTTGTATTCCACATGAACCTCCATCCATCCTAATCCCAGTTCCAAACCCCTTCTCCCTATGTATACTTGTGTCTCTATGAACAAGCACAGCACAGTTGCTCATCGTATCCGGTTCAATAAAACCAATATTGCCCATTCTGCTTCCAACTTAGGCAATAGAAATAGAATTTCAATCTTTATCTGTGATCTTGACAAATCCATTTCATTCGGGCAATTTTAAACTTACACTTGCTGAGGAAGATAAAGGATTGTTGATGGGTGATAAATTATTTCTGATTTGAGATTTTTTTTAGGCTATATAATTGTGTTCAGGGAGGGTTATTCTTCCTTAATTTCCCCAGCCAGTACTGACTGAGGATCACAGTGTAATTCTAAATATTGATTCTGTGTATCTATAAAAAAATTCTATATAGGTGACTGCAGATTGCATCATTTTTTGATATTAGATGGTGTTTCAAGTAAAAACTATTTGGAAGGAGGATCAGAAAGCTCATGGGAGACCCTTTCATTTTCTGTCCACAGCAAAAGCAATCTCATTAACTTGACTTTTTACAAGGTTACCTGAGAGCTCCATTGGAATTTCTGGTTTGTTTAGTTTACTTTTGCTGATCTGCCTACCCATTAACTGCAAGCTAAATATTGATTCTCAGTTCTGGAGTTATTGCAGAATAAAGCTGATTTGATTCACATGTACCACTTTTTAAAAAAACAATTGTTGAACTAACATTCGAATGTTTCTATAAAAAAACATGTCAAGAAACCCTAGTAACAATACATGCTAGTTTCAAGGGTATAATATCATACTCATAAAGGAAGATCACGGTCTAATTTTTTCGACAGATAATATCTTTAACTAGACTCAAAAGAAAATCTCATTCCAGTTGAAAACCGACTACCATTCATTGTAAATAGAATATGTCACTCACATCTTACGGTTGTCCGTAAATGTAACTACAATCTGACTCTTGAGAAATAACACCCTTGCCACTTTATCACTCACATGTTCTCCAGTTTTCCTCGATTTTAGATTTGTTCCCAACCTGAATCCCCTTCTTAATCTGATGGTACTTGATTGACATTGACCATCTCAGAAACGTGATTTGAATGCCCTCCATTTCCTGGCCAATGTACAAGCTGATGTACAGGAAATCACATGGGTATGATATTGCATCTGCTCGTTATATGTCTACCAATCTTGTAAAGGGATCTTGTCCAATGCATTCCTGAGGTTGGAGTGGTGGAGCCAGTTTTAGCTCCATGCAACCACCAAATTCTAAGAACAGAACTATAGGATTGCAATGTTGACCACATTAGTAAAGATTATTTTATGGAGGCGGTGCCCTTTTGGGATTGGAGGTGAAGCCACTTGGCGTTCTCCTACGGATCTTTGTGGAACTTATTACAACTTTTTGCACATCACAGAATCTCTCGCAGGACAGGTTTAATCGAACAAGTTCTTGGCTTCAGTTACAGTATTGAGAAAGGTCACTCGTAAGAAAGTATGTGGCGGCAAATTGTAAATATTCTCCAAGTTTAGTTTACAGTTAATTTTGGAACCAGATCTTGCAACTTACTAGCTTTTGACATATTACTAGTTGACAAATACAGAATTCCCTTGCTGAAGTTGAAGCAAATTGGAAACTGTAGTTGAATGCACTATTATTTTACAATCCAAACTGAATGTCAGCTAGTGGCATAACTTCCATGCAGGATTGTTATTTGGAGCAATGCAGAGCTGTTTTGTAAATTGATCCAGGCAGGTATCAACACTTTGGAGGGTGTCATAGCACAGTAATTCCAAGACTGAATAAATTTTTCCTCATAGACAGGGTCAAAAGTCAGTTAAGCGTTTCTTCAGTGATTGCTCGTTCATGGGGTTGCACACAGCAGAGGGTTGACGGACTAATTTAAATTCTGAATAGAAGTTGTCTTCTATTCTTGCCTCAGAAGTATTTTAGAGTAAAACGTGGCTGAAACAGACAATGCAAATTCAACCAAATAAGGGTTTTATAAATTATGAAATGCAAGTTGTTGTTGATGATTTAAACAATAACTTGCATTTAACAAGAAATTGCATTAGATTTTTTTTAAAAAAATCAATAAACACTGGACTTGCTAAATTCGAGTTCATGTTTAAAAGTATTCCCCTAACAAACTTACTTTTGGTTCACTATTTGAATAATTGATTTATTTCCTTGTAGGTGGACCATGGCAATTTTCATTCAATGTAAAGTTTTACCCTCCGGATCCTGCTCAGCTCTCTGAGGACATCACCAGGTGAGAGAGAGAATAGTTTCTCTAAAAAGGTGGAGTTCACATTTTTATTGTTAGCTGTGGTGCACAAGTCATATTTGAATTCGTAAACGCTAGTCTGATACTCCGAATAATTGCAGGGGAGTTTCTCTCGGTGTCCTGGTCAACAATCGTCTAGATAATATTGTCATTCACTTTATGGCTGTTTGTGAGACATTGGTGTGTTTCTTTGTTGGAGGTGCAGTCCTTTGGGTAGGATGTTAAACCATTGCTCTGTTTGCCTGATGTTTGGTATTTTAGATCCCAGGGCACTATTTGAAACGAGAACAGCATTTCTCTCTGTGTTCTGGCCAACAATCCTTTTAAGAGTACTCTTCATTTAACATTTTTTTTATATAGAGGTTACATCCACCAAACATTATACGTCAATTTTCATTTAAACCCATTTTTGCAATTTGAGTCATAATTATCATCCATGTTTAAACTGGTTCTGAGGGTTGGCTTCCCTTTATTGGAGGCATCCCTATTCTAAATAGCTTTCAAACAGGATAGTTTCTCAATATCTCAAACGTGTGTGCATTTGTGTCTCTGCTTTAGATACTACTTGTGTCTGCAGCTGAGGGATGACATTGTGTCTGGGAGATTGCCGTGTTCTTTAGTCACACATGCCTTGCTCGGCTCCTACACTGTTCAAGCTGAACTGGGAGATTATGACCCAGATGAATATAGCACCGACTACATCAGTGAGTTTCACTTTGCTCCAACTGATACAAAAGAACTGGAAGAAAAGGTGATAGAACTGCACAAAAACCACAAGTAGGTGCCATACTGTATAATAGCAAAATATCTGTTGTAGACTTTAAACATGCAGAAGCACTTTTTAGGTTTCTCTTATATTGTGGCGCTGTTAACTGAAAATCAGGTGAAAAAATTGGTGCTTTTGACATTTGAATCTCCATTATTTAAATGGCCTCTGGATTTTCAGAGGGTGTTTGTGATAACAATGTCCCAAACACTTGTATCTTGGTTGCATTTTGATGTCTTTGCAGAGTAACCCCAATATAGTGCATTTGTCTGCGACCAGTATCCATATAGAAATTGCATTAGAATGAGGTCCCCCGCCTTGCTAGCTCCACCATTGGTGGGTGGGCCTTCAGCTTCTTTGCCCCCACCCTCTGGAACTCCATCCCACAGTCCCTCCACCTTGCCCCCTCCCTTGCCCCCTCCCTTGCCTCCTTCAAGATCCTCTTCTTCAACCACGCCTTCAGCCACCCACTACTCCTACCCTCCCCGCCCTCCATCCCTCCAGATCCCAACCACCAGCTCAGGTGGGGATCCCTGACTGTCCAGTGCTTTGGGACGTCCTCCTGACATGAAAGGCGCTATACAAATGAAATTTATCGCAGTTGTTGTCTGAAACATGGCCGACATCTGGATTGTCAAGTCATGCTGATATCACTGCCTATGCACTGTGCATTCTACCTATATGCAAAAAATAGTGCATCAGCTTGGCTCAGTTGGTACCACTCTCACATCTGAGTCAGAAGGTTGGGTTTCAAGACTCATGTTGCGACTTGGATCCTATATTGTCTAGGGTGACTCCATTTCAATGTTGAGCATATGCTGCATTGCTGGTGGTGCTATCCTTCAGATGAGATGTTAAACCGAGGTCCCGTCTACCTGGAAGTTAAAGATCTCAAGACATTATTTGAAAAGAGAAGAGTTTTTTTCCCGGTATCCTGACCAAAATCATTGCTGTTTGAGGGATTGTGTGCAGGAAGCGACACCAGTGACACTTCTTATACGTCTTCACATGTAAATGCATAGGAAGTGTCATCCTTTCGCCCACAAAATATACAGTCAACTCACTTTACAGTATATTCTGTGAAGCACATTGAGACGTCTCAAAGACATGATAAGCGCTATATTAAATGTGAAGAGTTTTATTATTATTCAACAGGTGGCATAGAAGTCAGTCACTTCTTAGTGGAGGAAGCAGTTTCCCAGCACTGTAAAGTGGGAGTATTGCATTCTAGTACACAGTCGATTGGTGCTCTAAGTGGACCCATACTCAACCAGGGCCCCTTTTTTTCAGGCTCCTCTTTATTTCAATGATGTCAAACATTTGCACCTGCAAAAAATACCAGAGCACAGATTGGTACATTACTCAAGAACCTGCACAAAGTGAATGAGCTGAGGCTGAACTCAATTCCAAGTGGTATAGAATACAGTTTGAATTGAATAAGAGATGCCCTTTTTCCTTCTCTTGTTTAGGGGCATGACACCTGCAGAAGCAGAAATGCATTTCCTCGAAAATGCTAAGAAGCTTTCCATGTATGGAGTGGACCTGCATCATGCCAAGGTACATGTTGATTTAATGCTATGCTTTTGTGTTCCAAAATACAACTCTCTCCAGTTGAGCTGATTTTCCACCCCCCCCCACCTTTGTCCATAAAACCTCATGAGCCAAATAGTTAATCCTCCTCCAGAATTTATTACAGTGCCCTCCAGCTGGCATGGATCTCATTCTGCTTTCTGTGTCTTTAGTCATTGGGCGATGGTGGTTTCTAAACGTGCTCCAGTGGCGCTGTCTATTGCGGGGCTCCTGGCAAAAGTGCCAGTAGCGCAAATTGTGTTTCGCTCCAGGGAATCCCCTGTATGTAACAGAAGTGCGAGACCTTGGCTTTAATTTGAGTTCTCGCCGCTGCCAAGGACTCGAGAGTCTGTGTGACGTACAAGGTATTCCCTGGAGCTTACACAGTTTACATTACAGCCATACACGCGGCGTCTCTTCAGAGTGCTTTATAAACTCCAGTGCTGGCCAGAAAGTGGGGTGAAAACAAAGCACACACTTTAATAATAATCCTTGCAGTTAAAGATAGCGAGACTGAGCACGTTCCAAGAAAGCCCCTTCTGGCTCACGTTCTCTGAGCATTTCTGCTTCACTGTTCCACTGAGCAAATGAAGAAATATAGGACCACGTAAGAGCCCTTTAATTTTTATTTTTTTCTCTCACTTTCTCCTGAAGTCAGTCAAAAAATATAGATATGGAGCACACCTAAGAGTGAATAAATACTAACTGTTTGCACTTCTTGTATCAGATTGCACAACTCCTCAGTAAAATTTCCCCCACTGCACATAATTCTAACATTTTGTGATGGCCTCATTCTGTTGTTAAACTACCTTTACCCTAATCTTCTGTATAGCAGACTGATGCTTTGCTCCGTCTAGCGGCTGTGGAACATGTGCACAAAGCTCTCTGCAATTCGAGGAGTGGGACTATTTGAGCATGTTGTGTTTAACAGTAGAATCTGCCCATTTCATAGGGTAGGAACTGTCTGCAGTATTGATGTAGGAAATAGATCAAATAAGACATTTAAATTAAAAGAGCAGTCAAGGAATGCAAGAGAAGACAAAAAGAAAAATAATCTGGTTATTAAAACACAGAAGAATAAGAGAAAGAAATGAGGTGGAGGGAGAATTGACAGCAAACAGACATAGATGAGGGAATGTGAAGAAAGTGAAGCATAGAAAGAAGAAAAATGACAATAAAACCAGTGCTTAAACCTGAAACATTGGAGGGAATGTACTTGTATCCCTTAAAATTAAAAAATAGCCACCAGCCAACCTAACACTGAACGTGAAATGATCGTCGTTTCCCTTTCTTACTTCTGCAAACTCAAGGAAGTAGAATGTGAAAAATCAAACCTGAGTATAATGCCGTAACTTTAATTAAAATCTCTAAATTTACTGATATGTTCCTTTTTTNGGTTAAAGTGACACCAAAGTTCTTTGCATAAATGCAGGTTATATATATTCCTTGAATTTGATATAGCGCTTTTCACGTCGGGAGGACGTCCCAAAGCGCTTCACAGAATACACTGTAAAGTGAATTGACTGTATATTTGTGGGCGAACGCGGCAGCCAATTGCGCACAGCAATGTCCCACAAACAGCTGTAGATTGAAAATGACCAATTTATTATTGTTTTTATTTTTTGGAGGGATTATTTATTATTAGGCGTGTGGAGTAAGGAAACTTGCCCAAGGTTTCGCCCTGCCTGGAATTGAACTCAGGTCTCTCACTTGCAAAGCGAGTGCTCTAACCACTGAGCTACAGGACTCCACATTGATAACTTTGCACAGGTAGTGGTGCCAAGGCCGCAGCACTGGACTTGTCATAATGAATGTACTGTTACACTAATTGTTTCTCTGCTTCACAAGGATTCGGAAGGAGTTGATATCATGCTGGGGGTGTGTGCCAGTGGCTTGTTGATCTACAGGGACCGTCTGAGAATTAACCGATTTGCTTGGCCCAAAGTTCTCAAGATCTCGTACAAAAGGAATAACTTCTACATCAAAATTCGGCCCAGTGAAGTAAGTTCAAATGTGAGGTTTGTTCTGCTTTGCTCACTAGTTGTTTATAGTGCCTCTAAGTGGATGCTGATATTATAACAATCGCATGTATACAGGGCATGCAATAATATCCTGACAAAATGTATAAGTAGTCAGCAAATTAATATTATTCTCAAATCAGAATTCCTTTTGGAAAAGACTAATTGGGCAAAGATGTGTATAGGCGGATCAAAATCCAGCCTGAGCTGCACACTAAAAAATCTCTTCGTGGTTGGAAAAAAAAATACTCATCAGGAAAACGGCAGAGTAAATGGTGCCTTGCACGAGGGAAAAGGAGTCTTGAAACATGAAAACATGCCTTGCGCAGGGAAGACCGTTTATGTGATGTTGACCCTCAAACACAGATCAGACCCAAGGTCTCTTCAGGGCCGAAGCCTTGTGGTTCATTGGGGTGTACATTGGGCTCCCTGCATTTGATGTGCTTTATGCCCAAGCAGTTGTTTGTATGCCATTTTCACTGCAATTTTCTCAAGCAATGTTTTTTTTCATCCCCAAAATAGCTTTAATTAATTCAAGATACTTTAGCAAAAATTCTAATTTCCTTTCCAGGTTTGAGTTGTAATTGCTGTGTTTAATTTGTGCAAATTGTTAAGCTTTACTCGTTTATCTCTAATTCACCTAGTTAGACATGTTAATCTGCTGCGCCCAATGGCCTAGATTAAAATTTCAATTTTAATATAGTTGAATTTGATAAGGATCGAGCTAATATTTCTGTGACTGTTTCACTAATCGAGAATGTTGATATAAGTATTTGTAGAATTTATTTGCTTCCTGTATATAAAAAAATTATATTGTCAATTTTCTCCTGACAGATGATATGCTTTCTGAATGGTCTTCTGTTATAGAGTTTCCCAATAGAGGTTTATTAATGTGGGAGCCTACTCTGCCAGAGACAGCCCACAGAGTAGCACTGTTTGAATGAAAATAGCCCTGCTTGTTGTGTGGCTGTTAGTCACCCTCTACGATTCATGTGACATTATTAGAGCTTATTATATCCTGCTGATCTTCAAAGAGGAAAAATACCAAAATTGAATCTGATGCACATCTGTTTAAAATAAGTGAAATGGTGTCTCAAATGAGTGTGAATGTGCCTGTGCAAATCACTGTACTGTGGCTTTATATGCCAATGCTGTATTGTTAGACTGCTGCCTACCTGAATTCATTATCAAGGAATATTTCTTTAGAAAATCCTAGTTAAGCTGGAAAGTATATTTACTTATATTTCCCAAGGGCAATTAACAGACACAATACACGGCAGCAGACAAAGTAGATGTAAGACAGATCAACATAGATTTTCAATTCCTTATTTCAATGTCGCTATCATTTTGCTAAAATGTCTTTATCTTTTGTTTAATGTTTGAGAGGCTGGGCACTGACTATAACACGCTGGCATTGCAGTTTACAATAGTGCTGAGGGCAGATTATCTTTCAGCTGCGTTACGGTAGGGGAAAAAAAATTAAAAAAATAATAATTTGGTCACTCAAACCACGACTGTTTGTGGGACATTGCTGTACGCAATTGGCTGCTGCGTTTTGCCCACAAATATACAGTCAATTCACTTTACAGTATATTCTGTGAAGTGCTTGGAGACATCTAGAAGACGTGAAAAGCGCTGTATCAAATGCAAGGATTATTGTTATTATTAGTGTTAGGATGGTGTTTCACATAACAAACTGAGGTTTCGGTTCAAAGGCCCACCGCTCTGACCGAAGTTCTCTGAATCACAGTACAAAATTCATCCACGAGACATACAGTCATTACACGCTACAGTAGAATCTGTAAAGCGCTTTGAGACATCTCGAAGACATGATACGACTACATCAAATGCAAGGATTATTTTTATTATATTTTTTAAGTCAGCTAAAGAATGGCCATAGCTCTACCAATAAACTACAACTCCCTAATGTTTCCTGCTCCGTAAAATGTGTATTTCTACATATATCTGCTCATGGATATCAGAAATAAGCACTCTGTATCTACCAAACCTGAAAATGTGGATAGTTTCTTTGCTCATAGTCGGTCTGAAACGTTAGTCAGTGCTGGAGGAAAACTGTTGATGGAAGTGCTATCTCTTGATTAGACTTTAAACCGAGCTTCTGTCGGTCTGTTCAAATCGATGTTAATCATCCTTCAGCACTATTCAAAAGAAAAGAGTATTGTCCCGGTCAACAGAATTTAAAAAAATCAGTTATTGACTTCTGGCTGTTTCGAGACAATGCTGTGCGCGAATTAGCTGCCACATTCGCCTATAAAATAATTATTACACTTTATAGAAAACACTGAAGCACTTTGAGACGTGATAATATCCTGTATCAAAACAAAGGATTATTATTAGTATTAGACATTGTTGCTTTTCAGTAGGAAACCAATGCTAAAATATTACTAAATGAGTTAGAGAGGCCAGTGTTTCAGACAAAAGGGAGATTGACATAATTATTGTTCCCTGAAGTTCTTCCCCACTCCTTAGAATCAGTGGTAAGGAGAGGGCTATTTTATACAGTTGTTTCGGTTGCATATTTTCTGAGTAAACCTTGACATCTTGTTTTCTTCCCCCTCCACCCTCATAGTTTGAGCAGTTTGAGAGCACCATTGGATTTAAACTCCCAAACCACAGAGCAGCAAAAAGGTTGTGGAAAGTCTGTATCGAGCATCACACGTTCTTTCGGTAAGTCTCAACTCTTACAAATGAATCTTAGTTGAGGAGATCTTGTTTAATTTAGAATATCACAGAAGAAAAACAACCTTCACCAATATATACTATTGTGCTGTGTATATACTGTCAGTGATTCACTGACAAACGCTTGGTATAAATAGGAGCAAACACTGACACAGAATAATGGGCCGACTGGATTCCTACTGGGTTGTACATTTCCATGGTTTGCAGTCTCACTTCCAGCACTGCCTTCAGATTGTAGATTCAGTGGGAATGTGATTCACACCCACACAGTATAAATATAATGGGTCCAAATTGCTGCAGTGTTTAATGTTTGTTTCTGAGTTTTTTGGGGGTAGTGGCTGAAAGTATCTGAACTAGTACTATTCGTGTAAGTATCTGAACAATACTTTCAGATACGCCAAGGCAGCAACACAGTAAATCCTTTGAAGTACTTTGAGATGGCCTCCTGAGGTGAAAGGTACTATCAAATGCAAGGATTATTATCAATATAGTGAAACCAGTCTATATTATTTTACATGCACACAAGTTTGAGTTGTGGCAACAGCATTGAAGAGGTATTGAATTACAGTATTCTACAAGGTACTTAATCAGCCTGCTTTAGGCTGCAGAAGTATATAATGTAGTCTAAATTAGTTTGGATCTATGTCACTTGACACGTCCTGCTAATTTGGAGACCATATTTATCTAGCAAGTTTTAAGTCCATTGATCAAACAACAGCTTGAACTAATAAAATGCCATTCATTAATTCCGGATAGTGTCTCGGAATGCTGCAGCGCTCAGAATGGAATAATACACCGGAGTAGTGGGAAATATCAGTTCATTAAATGTTTATCAAATAAAGTTGCCTGCAATTATATTAAAGTGCATGGTGGACTCAGCGGGCCTATCACTTGGTGTGCCAACAACAAAATAATGAATTTATTATACTCTCCTGTGAATCCAATGGCGGAATTATTTTCAATTAATAACATTTTTAATTTGTTTTCATTTCATCACTAATTTTAGCCGTGGCAGTACAGAATTTGTTATGTGGAGGGTGTTGTGTACATCAGTTCAAGCAGTGGCAGGCAGTCTTGAAGAATGTGATTTAATCTCACACTTTAGATGACTTCTGCACTCTATATCATCATTGTCATATGGCTGGGGATATCAACTGAGCTCTGAAATTAAATCAGAGCTTCTTTTAGGCTGCTTCTAGTTGTAAGAATTGATCTCTTTTCCTTAGGTCTCTGGGTCTCACTGTGATAGTGACCCTGTTTCTGTACCACTGTAATAGGTGACAGGTTTTTGAAAACCTTCCCATACGCTACCTTGAAAGATGGGAAATACTATTTGAAGTTGAAGTAATTTACAAGAAAAACAATCTTGGCGTACAGCAGAATCTTACTATGACAAGTGATCTTAGATTGGTGCATCTTATGAATGGATCCTAATGAAATTAGGGTGTCACCTACTTATTCAATGACAGTTTCCTGTTTAAATCGATTGCTTCTTTTACAGCCTCGTGTCTCCTGAGCCACCTCCCAAGAAATTTCTTACACTGGGTTCCAAATTCCGCTACAGCGGCAGAACCCAGGCCCAAACACGAAGAGCCAGTTCACTCATAGACCGCCCAGCACCATACTTTGAACGTTCTTCCAGCAAACGTTACACCATGTCACGTAGCTTAGATGGAGGTAAGGAAAGAGAAGTCACAGTCTGAGGCAACATTTGTTAATGCTGCTGAATATTATTGTTTCAGTGCTCTTTAACCTTTCTGTGCCTCATCATTGGTGCCTTCAGCAACCCTGCCCTTGCCTTCTGGAATTTCACTCCTACGTCCCTCCATCTTGCCCCCTCTCTCTCCACCTTCAAAACCCACTTAAGCCCTATCTTGTTGAGTGTGGCACCTTCCTTCCCCCAAGTACATGCCCCTCTCACCCCACCCCCAAAGTGAAAGGCGCTGTTTAAATTGTCATTGTTATGCCACTGAATAAAACAGAATGAGTATCGGCAGCAAATTGCTAAAACTTGCTATAAGCATACTATGTCTAGTTTGCAGGATATACAAGGCAACGGAGACTTAATTTAGGGGAAAAAATTACTGCGGTCTAATTTGTGTTACTTTTAAACAGAATTCCTTACTGAGGGATTCGAATAAGCGCAGCTAGGTTTCTTTATGTGAAGCAGAAATAAGTCACACTGACCCGCAGGAACCCTACTCTGAAGCAGAGTTCTCGTGGGTCAACTGGAATTCTAATAGGATTCCTTCCCATTAATAAATCCTGCAAGTTAGCCTCCAGTCATGGATTCTGGGAATCAACCCAGTCATTTTTTTGTTGGCTCGTACAAAGTGATCCCAATACAACATGGTGGTTTGGGTCCATAAACTCAGACTTCATGTTCTTAAGGAGATGATCTGAAAAAAAAGGGCCACCGGTCATCACTTCCGGGATTCCTGAGTAGCAGCTGACCTCACTTCCTGTATGTTGTATCTTTCATGATGCAATGTCAGCAGTGCTTCCTGTCCATACCCTATATGAGCAAGACAAGAGGAAATGGCATTAGTGGCTATGAGCTATAATCTACCAAGCTGCGTTGTAACAGGTTAATACTTGAACTAAATTTTCTAACTTGTAAACCTTTTCATAGATCAACAGAGTAGACCAATAAATCCTGTGGCTCTTGTTGGCGAGGAAAAGCTGGTAACCCCAGATAATGAAACTAAAGTTACAGGTAGACTTAACAGTGTGATATATGGGAGAAGTTGTTTCTTTCAGAAAATTTGCATGCGTGTGATTGACCTCTTAACCTCAACAACAAACGCAGAGTGATTAATAACCGAATTGTATGATCTAATCGTTTTTTGGATGATGGTAATCTGATTTCACTTTCACAGACTCTTGTGTTTAAATCTTTCTTGACGTGGGTTGCTAGTAACACATTTATTGTACCCAATAATTCAATATTAAATGACATAGAATATTACATCATGGAAACAATTATTTTGGCTCAACTCTATGCAGCTCATGAGTTTCGTTGATATGTGAGCTTCCACTCCATCTACTCCTTCATCCGGTCCCTGACCAGGACCGCCTTCTTCCACCTCTGCCGCATTGCCCGCTTCCGACCGTACCTTACCCCAAATGCAGCCAAAACCCTCGTGCATGCATTTGTCACCTCCCGCTTGGATTACTCCAAAGCACTCCTCACCAGTCTCCCCAGCTCCACTATTCACTATCCAGCTCATTCAGCACTCTGCCGCCCGCATTCTGACACAGACCAAATTCTGTACCCTCATCTCACCAGTTCTGGCCAGGCTCCACTGGCTCCGAATCACTGAACGGGTCGACTTCAAGATCCTCACGCTCCTGTTCGTGTTCAGCGCTCTGTGACGCTACCCTGCATGGAGGGCGTTATATAAGTGGAAGTTGTTGTTCTAATATCCCTCTATTCCCTTCTTCCTCATGTATGCATCTAGTTCCCTCTCAAATAAATGAGGAAGCTTTTTGTTTCAACCATAAATTCCAGCAGTGAATTCCATTTTCTCACCACCCCTCTGAACTCTTAGATCTACTGCTGACTAAGCTTATATTTATGCTCTCTCATTTTTGGCCACAAAATATACAGTCCATTCATTCTACAGTATATTCTATGAAGTCCTTTGAGATGTCTCGAAAACGTGTTAAGGCACTATATCAAATGCAAGGATTATTATTATTATTTTGGATTCATCAACAAGTGAAAATAGTCTATCAACATCCATCTTCTTAAATCCTTTCCTATTATTAAACACCTCTATTAGGTTCTCTCTCAATCATTTGAACGTTAGTGAGAAAAGTTCCAACCAGTCCAATCTTTCTTCATAGCTGTATCATCCCTGTTAACATCCCTAGTAAATGTACACCATACTTTCTCCAGTGCTACAATGTTCTTCCTGTAATATGACCAGAACTGTACACAGTTTTCCAAATGTGGTCTAACTAGGGATTTTTAACTGAATTTAACATTACTTCCTTACGACTCTATTTGCATTATTGATGGTCTTGTCCACTAGTGCAGTGCTATATTTTGAATAAAAAAAATAAACATAGGCCTTTTTCTTTTGTGCACAATTCTATGATTGGCTTAAGAACTAATGCAACCAAATTAGGTATCTCTACCACTGTTACAAATTTGCAGAGATCTTGAACAATGTATCAGAGTATGTGAAACTGAAATTCAATGGATACAATTCTTTGAAGCACTGCACTGTTATTAATGGCATTTCTGATTTGCATTTTAAAGCATCTGTCACAGAAAACCATGAGATGTTCATGAAGGATTCCATTTCTGCCTCTGAGGTTACTGCTGGCCATTATGGTGCAGCCAAGACTATTGTCTCAACCAATCTAATAACCACAGTGACACCAGAGAAGAAGGCAGAAGAGGAAAAGGCAGAAGAAGAGGAGAGGACAGCGAAGGCTGATATTACTCCATCTGTCACACCAGCCAAGCATGACACAAAGGTAGAGTTGTACCAGAGTATGGAAAGTGTTGAGGGAGGGTAGGGGGAAAGGGAGGAGGGAATCAGTATTGTAAAATATGCAGGTTATAGATCTGAAAAACAAGTAAAGTATCCCTTTGATGTAAACTGTCATGATTGCAATAAGGTGAAAATGTTAATTTCTGGCCAGTTCAACTCCACTCCAATGAAGCCCATTAATTCTTGCGGTAGTTTACTGATGCACTGCACAAACTGTAGCACATTGTTGGGTTGGTATTCTCAAACCATTTATAATCCTACTGTTACATGGAACTGGAGTTAGAATTAATAGCACATCAGAGACTTGTGTTTGCCTTGAAAAGTGCTCCCAATGCAAAACCACTGTGCTGCTAGTGTCTCTCACTGAAAAAGCTCCTTACAATCCAAACTCTATTTTCTATAGGATATTTCATCTGATTCACACTATTGGTTCCAACCTGGCATCTTTAGCCCCAAATTCCATCCAGGCTTACCCTGTTAGACCATTTTGTCTTAAACTTTAAGATTGTGCAAAATTGTGAAAAAAAATCTCAAATTCAGTCTTAATTTTCAAACTGGTTCTTTTTAATGACCCAGAATACTAGCTTCCAAATCGAAACTGAATTTAAGAATAGAAAACAGTGGTGAGCTGTCTTAAATATTAAGACGGTGGTCTTATGGGTTAAGACTAGTAGCATTTTATGCCTCTTATATCGGATAATACAATTTAAAACACAAAATGTTCTTCTCCTGACATTGATAATTCAGCAGTTTTTTCAACCTCTATAATAACTTAATACACTGTATTAAGTCAGTACTAAAGGACATGGAATGCAAGTACTGAACTTGTGTGTTTGATGGAGTATGACAAAGATCAATAGAAGTTGGTGAGAACTAAGCAAAGTCCACAGGGAAATTTTAATAAACCTCTGGGAAATTTCACTCTTGTCGATAAGAACTGCTTTGTCGCTTGTGTTATTAAAAACATATAAACACCTATGGATATTTTATTAAACATTAAGAATTTCAACATTTGGATTCTCAAAGGCATCAGGTAAATGCATTGATTTTAGCTGTCATTAGGGATGACCAGAAGGGATGATTAGCTGAGCAGTCAGACGTTGATTTGTGTGTTGATTTATGCAGCCAGAGACAGCTATTCTGTTTGAGGTTACTACAACCTCATTGAATTTATGGGCAGCAATGGGAATGGAGATATTTTCAATCTGACGAGTTATTTGCCAAACTTGACCTCCACAGGACCTGGTTAGATAGCTATTCAGTGCATAACAGCATTGCGATTCCTTACCCGCCAGTGCAAAACCAATTACCTGATGCCCTCTGTGTTGGGGAATAATATCGAGGATAAAAAACAACTTTCAAAAAATGAACCTTAGCTTAACCTTTATATGAATGCATACTGTGGCTCTCCTGGTGGGCTGGTAGGTTTGAAGAGAACTGCCAAGTGTAGAACTAAAGCATACAGATCAGAACTGTGCAGGCCGAATCCTGTCCTGTGCAGAATCCACTTCTTCTCATCCAGAACAGCAACTGAGGCTCTACAATCTGTCTCATTGTCCTTGGTCTATGGAAGGGGAAGAATTAAGTAATTGTTTCTGCTCTGACAACTGTCCCTTGATGGAAGGTGTCTGTGCATGTGTAGATGTGTAAGGGTGTATGTGTGTGTAGTTTCCCAGTGAGAGCAGGATTAGACTTCGCTGTGTTTCTGTTTCACAAGTGAGGAATGGCCACTTGAGCAAGATAATGGTCATTTGAAGTATCTTTTCTGCTCTGGTTAAGGACAGATGTTGACTAAAGTTTTTTTTTACTCTGCCAAGACATTTACCCCTTATTTTAAGTGCTCCAAGATGCTAGCCTGCATGAAGGGCGCTATAGAAATGCAAGTTGTTGTTGTATTTAATTTCTTGCATCACATATCCTCTTTATCATCTCTGAACAAGACTTAGATTTTGACAGCAACTCTGAGGACCTTTGTTTTAGTCGCCTGTACCCACCAGGAACTGTGTTGAAACTGTCCAGGCTCAGGTTAGAGAGAAATCATCCAGAAGAAAACAGATATTTTGATCTCATCAGTCACAGGATGCTCATCAGTCAGTCAAATACACCCCCAGCCCCAAGGAGGCAGTGTAGGTGTATTTTATGAGCTAAGTGAAGTGGGGAAGGGTTCTTTTAGGTGTGAACTTGATGAGCCTCTAGATTTTGTTTGCCTTTCGATGTCAGTATATCTATATGTGTATTGGAGAGTTGAACAGTGCAGTGATCCATCACAGCATCCATTTGCCTGTGACAATGGGGCTGGAATACTATTCAGACTGCATCTCCCCTCTTTGGATGGGTCCTATGCTAATGTTGTTGGACAAAACTGCCTGTGGCTGGACACAAATTGACAATCTTACCTGAAAAGACAATAGGACGGCTGGTGCATGAAATGTGAAATAAAATTAATAGCTGTGTAGCAGAGAAAAGGAGTTCTGCACTGTTGTATAGCCCACATCAGCATATTCCATGTGATTAATGTCACAAGGTATATAAATGCATACTATTTACTCTTTTATAGCACCAATTAAGTAGAATCAATATTCAAGGATAATCCTATTCTAGAGATGTGACTGTTTCTTGTAAAAGAACTTTGAATAGGGAGAGATTCAGATATTTCTTGAGAACAAAATTTAGTGGGGGTCTTTAATGCTGAATATGCTGAATCCCAGTGAATGTGCTTGGAGCAGTTCGGTTGAGTACCGAGATTGTTGGCATATCTGCAGTTTATGAGCCTCGGGCTCTCTCTAAAGAGAGAGTGTTCCCTTTTAATGGGCTTAATAGGTTGCCTGAGTTGGGGAAACGATCTTAGCAAACAACCGTTTCACACCATGATTTTCTAAAAATATATCAGATACTTTTCCCAAGGTATTTATTTGAAAGGAAAATCTACTGGTTTGGTGCAATGTTTTTCCAGTAATGAGCAGATTTCTGCAGCATTTAATGAGACCCTGTTAAAGGCATCAGTGTTGCAGGTCTTATGCCTGTATGTTTTCATGCATGGATCTGTCATGGAGACAGCTGCTTAACTTCACTCTTGTGCCTATTTGATAGTTAAAAACAACTTAAAAGATCCACGAATTCTTGCTATGAGTTCAATCAAAATACCATCCTGTCGTCTTTTTAAAATATTCCTCCCTTTTCGTGCCCCTATCCAAAGATTGACTCAATTGAAGTATAAACACAGGTGTATCGAGGCATGTGTTAAACCATGTGAATGGAGGCAATTACAGGTGCCCTTCTTCACATAAGTAACTGTTCCATAATTAAGGACACTTGTAATTCTCTCTGTGCAGAAGGTTTTCACATTGCATAACACACCTGTGTTTGGACATGGTTTGAATTTGGTGCATAATAGATGCCAGTGTCAATACTCACCCAGCAGGAGGTATGCTTCAGGGGAAGGTTTCCCTTCCTTCCTTAGATGATTTACTCAACCCCCAACTGGCGGACTTGCAAGGGTGACAATGCCAGCAGTGATTTTAAGATTATTTGGATCACAAACCTTTCCAGAGCTTGTAGCTGCTGGGCTATCCTTTTCTCGTTTATGCATTTGCTTTCCCTGCTTAATAAACACAGCGACAATAAGACGCGCAGGCCATTAAAGGCAGAAAGAAGACTTTATTGCATCATTACCATTCTCTGGAATGAGACTCATTAAATATCAAAGCTGCGATTGCATAGTGTAGCACCAACACAGCAGCGATTCATGAAACCTCTCACTACAGCACACCTCACTGGCTCACCATCTGCCTTGTGTCAAGACCATCACAAATCTCATGGACTTCCTAGATAACTGAACTCAGTTACAAAGGCTACTTTTTGAGATGTTCAAATAAATTCAAACCAAATCTCAAGTGATCACAGCAAGATAGACAGCCTTTAGCTCACCCTTGGGGAGTATTTGTTTGTTGCATTTTAAGTTGAGCTCTTTTGGTTGCTTTTTTAAAAAAAAAATTAGAATGCACAGGGCAGAGAGGGCTTTGAGCCTGTTCTGATCTTCACTTGACATGCACTGGATAGTGATTGGGAGTGGGTACTTTGGCTGATTCTCCCCTCGATAATCCAGAGGCTGAGGTCAATTGTAGAGCTTCAAGTACCACCCTTTTGGGATCAGCTAGCAGCACAGACTCATCGAACTGGGATCTTCCCTTGTTGTTTGCTTGAAATTCTCACTGGCTAAACTCACTGAGCCATTGGTGGAGCTCAGGGCCTCTGTTCGGGACAGCTAAAACTTCAAACATTCCCCATTGTAAATTGGTGGGCTTGAACCCAAGTCACACCAGTCCTTGACACAGCATATTTAAGCACTTCTGTACCTCTCTTTAAATTATCTTTTTAATATATCATCCTATGAATAAACACGTTGGTCGATGTCTGCAGTCATTTCCTGAATTGCTGAGACATCCCCAAGTGAGTGAATAGATTTAATCTAATCTATAGGTTGTAGGCTAATCAGATAAATGGTCTGATATTGGTTGCCCATCTTTACTAAAGTTGCAGAAGGAGTTGGTTGCCATTATTTGGTGTTGAAAGTAGTTGGTTTGTGTGGGACTCTTTGCCTCAAACCCCCTCCACCTTGCCCTTCTTCAGATCGCATTTGAAGACCCTCCCTCTCACCCTGGCTCAGCATCAAATTCCACCACTGTTACGTACTTTTAGATGCTACCCTTTGTGAAGGGTAGTTGTCGTCATTGTCAAATATTCAGAATGGCAAGAATCCCTGATTTCTTTGTAACGGTACAATCACAAGAGATGCTGATATAAAAACGTGATGACTATCTGTTAAGCAAAGTTTGAGTTTATTGCCATTCAAACAAGTTGGTGTTTGAGTTGCATATTTAGTGTGGACATTTTCTACCCAGGAATATATTAAAAATTTAAATTAAAATAAAGGCAAATGTTGTAAATGTCAAATTTGAAATGGGAATAATGAAAATTTGCAGT